AGCTAACTGAAATAAATACACTTTGCAAAATCAAGCTTGACCAACAAAGACGCAGAAAAGTGCAGTCGAGGCAGACAAACGTCGGTAAGTTCCTTTGTGAGCCAATCAAAATTAAGATCATTCGTGACGTATTCATAGAATAATTATTAATAATTATTAGATTAACAATTTTTTATATATACAAAAGCCGGTGCGTTTTGGTAATAATGCGTTCCAACAATGGCTTTTATGTCTTGTCGCTTAGCAACAAAAGCATAACCTAATATTGTTGTTAGTCTATGTACTGAAAATATGAAATAAAATGTATAAACAACAAAACTGAAAAATATTTGTTGATTTTTTAACTTAGAGTCTCTGTTGATTAAAGGGGTTTGTTTTTTAATTAAAACGGTGTTGATATAACACAAAATAGTTTTATTCAGAAACGATTTATGTTTACAATTGAATCGACATTTTTACTTTCATGATAAATTTTATGCATTTGACTCTAGGCTAGTTGATCCTACACCACGTCTTTACTTTAGGTTTATTACACTAACACTCACTACACTTATAAGGTTTCACGGCACACCCATCCCTCACGGCCCCCTCGTCACTAAAATCGTAATGGGCAGACAGTAATCGAATTGTTTTATCTGGATAAATGCATTTTGGCTTTTATGGCTCCTATTTCGAGAAATCACGCGTGATGTGACATACACTGGCTTTTATACAGGTTAGATTGTATTTTATGTATGGTTCGTATTTTATACCACGGCATTTCGAAATCACCATGAACTGTTTTTTTTTGGGGGGGGGGTAGAGCGAGGCATACTAATAAATCTACAAAAATCCAAGGTTCGCGTTACAGAGTCATTGAACACGCTCCTTACTTTCAGCTGTGGGTGAGTGACAAGAGTGACAGTCAACCATATTATTCGTGTCAAAGCGCTTATGGTCGAGAGCGTTGCTAGCTGGCTCTCTTTCCTCTGGTCAGTAGTTTAAAATTACATACAGTGACACCTGAACCCCAAGACTTTAAATACACCAGCTTAGGAATCATAATTATTTAATATAAAGTTTAAACAATAATCACTCTGAGATTTTTTTTTTTTTGGTGTTGTTTGCAGTTTGTTTTTGAAAAACTCCGAGGCATAGATGACGCTGTATAGTCACAGGGACTCTGGCCTTACCGTTCAGTCCACTGATACACGGTTGAAATACCTACAGCATAATGTTAAAATACGACAGTATAAATAGAAAATAAATAAACTGCTTGAATACATAAAAATGGTTATCGTAACATCAATTATTAAAAATAATGTTGTCTTTTTAATACAAAGCTATACAATGGGCTATCTATAATGTATTCGAGTTGGAAACCGAATTTCGGTTTTAAGTATCTAAACTTACCAGTGAGCCACCGGGGAACGGAAAATAAATGAGAGAAATTAAATACTTATAACTAGTATAACAGTAAGATAAATTACACGAATTCCTCAGTTTTGACGCTTAAATAATACCGTAAAGTGTAATGTTAATCAAAACATGACTCTTCTCTGTCTGCCTTCATGAGCAATTATATGCATGATTGTGTTTGATTATTAAGAGATAGTATTGTTCAATGAAATTATACGAATTACTCAATCGTTGCTTGCTACGGTTAAATAAAACTGTGAAGAGATAATATTGTTCAATGAACAAAGAAAATAAAAACATTACTGGCGATTATTGGAACCGAAGTTAGCAAAGAATTATTAAATAAATGCGTAACGTAATGCTTTTATGTTAAAGTGACAAAATGATAATAAAATAATAAATTAATACGCAGATTTTCATAAATAAACCAAATATCAAAAACATAATCACTGATCTCATTTAAATTATATTAGAGCTATATTTTAATCTATATTTAGACGAAAAAAAGGTTTTGTCTATGATGTTTCAGCTACTCACACAATCAAATACACTGAGTGGTCACAAGTAAATAGACACCACCTTTTCAGAAAAAATGAAATTTTTCAGTCATATTCACATGGATTGAT